CACCAAAGCTGCAACATTAAGTGCTCCCAAACAGAGAAAATCCAAAATAAATATTGTGATTTTTCTCATCTTAACAGTAACATAAATGGTGAATGGCCAGCTAAAACCCTTGCCAATTAAATTTTCAAGCTCTATGGATAGATGAGACAGTAAACAAATAATTGAACTCAATTAAATTGTCAATACCTCAAAATAGGTGGGTTTTTTGTATAGCTAATGGTATAACTACAAGGCAGTGCATCTAGGAAATGAGAATACAATCTCCACTCATTGCTGTGAAGCAGTGCTGTGCAGGAAGAGGAGGATGTGCAGAGCAAGAATTAATTCCCATTTTATGCTATTTGTGCAGTACAGTGCAGTAGTAACAATGGGCCTGAGATGTACAAAAAAAACAACACCCAGTAAGGAAAGGGGAGTGAGGTTGTAATTGTGGCTATGCAGTTCTGTTAAGTGGATTTTTAGAAAAGATAAAGAAATTCTGAAGAGGACTCCAGGAGGGCTAAAAAAGGTCAGAATTTAATGGGTAGTATTTACTCAGTTGGTAAAAGATACATTTGACAGTTGGGTTCATGTCTTCATCGGTTTCTTTGCAAAGATTTTTTTACCAGATCATACATAACTTTCTAATGAAGGTGTGACAAAATCCAGGGATTAGCAGCTAAAGTTAAGCAAATTCAGCTTTGAGTTGAATCTTTATTTTCTGGCGGGGCAAGTGACTGAAGACTTGAATAGCTTCTAAAGGGAAGAGTAAAGTGGTCAATAAATGCTTTAAAGTAAGCTAAATTTTTTGTAAGATTAAAAAATAATTGTTAAATTCTGTTTCTGTGAGAAATTTTGTGGCCCGTGTATGTGGGAGATTAGACTGGTGGCTTATGACTTTACCTCCAAAGTTTGACATTGGTGAGTATATGTGAGTGTTGGTGCCTTTCCTTCCAGGACAATAAATGCTCTTGTGTACTTTTATGGTTTTGGAGGTTTCCAGTTGCCATATTTTTACTTTACTCTCTTCGGTGCATTTCTTCCTGTTGCATAAGGTGCACATGGTAGCATGAACATGTTGCCACCTGAACAGTCATGAATTAAATTGGAGCAAGAAACATGAAGTCACCCCACCTTGCTCTTTGCATCACTTTCATAAATGTACAAATGCAGGTCCTGACACTCATCAGCCATGGCTTGACTGTTAAAGACAAACTGAAATGGATGCCAGTTTGCTTTTCTATGCTGTGCTATGAAGGGCAGTGAACTAATTCAGGAGTAGTAATGCTAATCCCTTTCTAGAGCAGCAGCTTCCGTGAGAGCTACAGGAGCAAGAGCCTTGTCAGCTGCCACAAGTTTGTCTGCTGCTGCTTCTGAGTCAACACCCAGAGGTAACAGCCTCTAAATTACCTTTAAAGAAACTGCTCCTGGGCAAGTCTGTGCAACCCTCTCAGCATTCTGCCGTCGGTTTGGAAAAGCTTTCCACTCCCACTTTTCTCTGCTGCTTGCAGCAAAATGCGGGCTGCTAAAGTGGTCGAGTGAGCACCCATGACTGCACCTGTACCTCTCACCAGCAGCTACCAGTGTAACAAACCCTGGTACAGCAGAGTAACAAACCCAGCCTTCTGTGTGTGCTCTCATCCAGCATTCACGGAGCTGTGATTTACCAAGGACAAGGGCATGTGTAGCTTTCCCTGGCTCCTGCTCAAAGTCAGCCACTGCGCCCGTGGAGTCTTCCAGGGACAGTCACATCTGCCTCCCCTCTTCAGCCTCTTCCTTCTGATCCGTGATCTGGAAATTCCTTTTTTCACACCTTTCCAGATACACTCATCCTTTGGCAGAGTCACAGCCTGGACATTTAATCACAAATCATAAATAACTGATTAAAAAAGGAGCCCCATGAGGCATGGTCATAACTTTGGTGAGAGACTTTATTTCATGATATATGCACAAGGAGGCAGTCTGAGCTATATTGCTCCTATTTATGTTTTTAGCTTCTTTTTAAATATATAAAAAATTACATGATGTTACAAACACGTGATATGTGAACTATCCTTAGAAATGAAGAGGGTAAAACATGAAAGTCAAGGAGCATGCCAAATTCTATACTGATGCTCCATGTCCTGAGCATTTTGGCTGCAAATCCTTTGTTGTGTAAATAATATACAAATATTCTCCAACACGCAGTCATTGGACTTAGCTTTTCCACTTGCACTCATTTATTGTATAAAAATTTACCCTTCTATGGACTGAAATAGTTACAGCAGAGATTAATGACTTCAGTGGAAAATCTTAGCCTTGCTGTTTTAAGTATGGAAATATTGCAATATTTAATTCAAAACAAGTATTGTTATTTTAAAATATGTTCAGTATCATGACATAAAAATGTTTACATTATCTAGTTTCATGGTCAGTAATTCTTGAAGTTCAAAGTGCTTGGCAATGTCTGCAGCATGAGTGTGTGTTTATCTCTGATTATCATAATTTCTGAGTACTGTCAGAGTACTTCAGTTTAATGACACAAACAACAGAATAATTTTCGTTAAAAACAGCAACTTCTTAATATTTAACTTGATTCAGGAGCGCTACTGATATTTTTTACATTGTGAATGGTTGGCCACAGCAGTTCTATTTTGTAGGAAGCGTTTGTGGAGCCCTCTTTCATTTAAGATTATGAATCACAATAGTGCTGAATAAGTAGAGCTTGCCTTTTTAAGATTGAGTTTGAGATGGCCTCAAAATTTTTGTTTTTGTCTTTCAATCAGGTTATTCTAATAATGTGGTAAGATATTGATAGATATTTCTACTTTTACTTATTATGTCAGTGATCTTAAAATGAAACTGGGAGCTGCAAACACCTACGTACTAGCTCTGCCTCTGATAGCAAATCCTTTGGGGGATGTAGGCACATTGCCAAATCTCTCCTCCTCTACTTCCGTTCTTCAAAAATAGTGATTGTTAGGAAGTGTTGTTTAATAGAATTGCATATGATATGTATCCAAAATGGGGAGCACAGTAGCAATGTGTGCCTGCAATAATTAATGTGTCAGAACACAGTAATGATTTACTTGTGATGCTAAATTTGACTTAACAAAGCCATTTTGTATCCCTGAGGACACAGCAGATTCAGCATCAAAAGGAAGCAGAGAAAAGCCAAGTGGCACTGGCTCTTCCAAAGATCTTTGACAGAACCAGGCAATCTAAGGGATGCCTCGCAGCCTACGCCATGCAGCTCTGGAGCAGATGGCCTGAGTGGCAGCTTGGGCACCAGCAGGTGCAGTTCAGAAAGCTCCTGTGTGCTGATTATTCCTTGTGTCCCAAAGGTAGAAGTCCCTCTGTACAGGCAGTGGTCTCTGTGACAGAGACCCAGGCAGGCAAGAGACATGCTTCTTTGCAAGATGTTCTGACCTTATAAAGCATCCACATAGAACACAGTGCCCTGAGGATCATATCTAGGGCTCAAATCTTCCTTGTTGTCTGGGTGACTTGACATCCCTGGAAAAGATGACTGGACAGGACTTTTTTGTCTTTGAGGTTATTTCTTCAGCTCACAAACATCAAATTACTTACTGGCAGGTTATGTGTAAATACAGCCTATTTTGCAAGGTTGCCATGTGTGGTGTAGTTCTGTAGTTCCATGAAGAGTAACCTGAGACACAGGGAGGTGTTCAGAAGGGAATGAGGGCAAGAAAGACTTGTTGGGGATGAGAATGAAAGGAAAGCAGGCCAGCAGGGCTCCAGGCTCTGGGTCATGTGTAGCACCTTGGACTCTGCTGGGTTTTGGACCCCATGTGTTGGGCAGAGCAAAGAGCAAGGCAAAAATTCTGTGTCTGCAGCAGGAGGCTAAGTTACTGAGACATGTAATCATAGGCTTGACTGACCTCAGTACATGCCTGTGTTGTTGTTTATGCTTTACACATAAATATCTACAGCCCACCAGTTCTTACAATTCAGTATTGCAAGAAATGCAGTTTATAAACTAGGAAGATCCAGAACCTGGATTCTTCATTGAAAAGGTCAACTGTGGGAAATTATTTCTGGGGAATGTGATCACAGAAGCTGGGTGAAAATTGAGAAAAATGCTGCCAAACACATACTGCAGCTATTTTAGTTGCTGCAGTACTAATGCAGAGAGTATTCCAGAGAGCTTTCCTGCAGTCAGGACCTTCAGGAGTCACTTTCACCGAGTGACCAGTGCCAAGGTCACTTGGCACAGGCCTCCATCCAACTGCTGCGTTTTTCATCACAGCGGCAGTGGCAGTGAAGATGTAGGTGTTAGAGTGATGTTGCACTCTGGGAGTAGGCTTGGTGCTCCTGCTCTGACACCAGCAGCCTGGGATTTGTTGTCAGTGTCAATACAGGTTGCAATTAAGATTTTTGTTCATTATGTAAGAAATGATTTTTGGCCAGGGGCCTGTTCCCAAACCTTGTGTATCTGTGCAAAGGGGGGAAGTGGCCTGCAGGAAATGTCTGGGACACAGTGTCTGTAGTGAGCAAGACAGAGGAAATACTCAGGTCTTGATTCTTTGCTGCCCTGTAGATCTGAATAAGGTAGTTGGGCAGAGCTCCCAGGGGCTGTCCTAGACTGATGAATTTACACAAAACTTGACATAAGGAGCGAAGTCTGGTCTGTAGCGACCAGCAGCAGCAAGAGGTGTAGAGAGGAATCGTGCACAGAGCTGGACCACTATGCAACCTGTCACAGCTCTCTGTAAAGCACTTCTGTTTCCACTGGGCAGTGAAAAGTGCATATCATCAGTCAAAGTAGTGTAAAAGATTCTTCTCAGCATTTGCCACTACAATTCCTAGTTTGTTATTGCTGTTATAAAGGGTGTATATTGAAGCCACCTGTGTGAAGCTGACCACCTTCCTCCTCTTTCTGAGGCTGCACAGGGGAAGAGGAGAGCTCTGACCATTGCATCTGTACAGCAGGGTCTGTAGTGCACAAGTTGCACACGGGTAGGCTTGGTTTTCTTTCTGTGCCTACCAGGCATAAACTTTGTAACCATTTCCTTTGCTAGTGTCCAACAAGCACCATTTTATGGACAGCGACTTGCTCTACCAGTGCAGAATGAATTTCCGGCGGCGGCGGCGACTGATGGAGCTCCTCACTGAGAAATCTCGCTTGATGCCAGAAAGCCATGACAGCCCCTTTTGCCTGCGCAAGCAGAACCATGACAACAGGAAACACACCAGTTTTCTCTCAGGTGACTCATTAATTATACTGCTCTTTGTAGAGTGACTCCACAGAGTATTAAAAAATTGGTTTTGGACAAGGTGTTTCAGTATTAGAAAAAAATGCTGGGCTGAGTATTACATGTCCCTGTTCATAGGCATTGTCCATTCACTCATTTCACCAAACCTATAGCTCCCTGGGGTGTATCTGTATCAACAGCATTTCAGATGCTGATCAAAATTTGGGGTCCATGTTCAAACTGAAATGGTTGAAGTCCCCCAAACTCGAAGTAATTTGTCAAACATTCTCTGGAGAGTTTTCAAGAAGATTAAAAGTGAGGGGAAGAGGCCTTGCCACATTTGTGTACAGTAATATCTAGTAAGAACTGAAAAAAAGGGAAAGGAAAACTGCAAAAACATAGTTCCCTGTATTGAAATGCCTCTTAGAAGACCCTACAATAGGAGCAGTTAGTTAGTTATGTTAGTTACAGCATTACTCTCATGCAGTGACTCTTTTATCAGTGTAGGACATACTAACCCATTCCCAGTGTTGTCAGTGAAAGCATGGCTTGTTGCTGGATTTTTTAAAAAAGAAACAGGGAAATGGCTTAATAACTGGTACCGGGTCCCTTTCTCTCTTTGTTTTCTCTCTGCTTGCAGTGAGTCCCACCAAGGAGATAAAGATCGTGTCGGCAGTGCGGAGGAGCAGCATGAGCAGCTGTGGCAGCAGTGGCTACTTCAGCAGCAGCCCAACGCTCAGCAGCAGTCCCCCCGTGCTCTGCAACCCCAAATCTGGTGAGCACCAGCATGGCTTAGGATGCACAGCAGCCAGGCTGCAGACATCTCTGTGGGGAGAAGGCGACATGAAGAATGCCTGTCATCACGCCTAAGCCTCTGTTTCCAAGAATACATTAAAAATTCGGTGTCACAGGTTTTTTAGGCCAGAGGGAACTATTATCAGCATCTAGCCTGAAGTCCTGCTGAACACAAGCCAGACCTCTGCCTCCAGTAATCTCAGCATCAAGTCCATAATTGTGGTTTGAGCTGCAGTTTATCTCTTAGGAGGACGTGCAGTCAGAGGCCTAGATTTGCCTCTTCACTGCCAAGCTCTGAACCAATTCAAATCTCCTCCTAGAAACATTCCTTTGGTGCAAGTCAGAGGAGAGTTTAACTATCCAGTGACTGCTTGAGCTGCTATGGAATAACACCTCTCAGAAAACACAAGGCTCTCAAAATACTGAGGCAGCATTGTTTCAGCCTGTCAGAGACCATTTGAACATTTCAGTTTGTTTTAAGTCTTACACTGGTCTGTTTCAGAAGGTAGAAGTAGTGTTGAAGCTTATTTTCCTTTTGAAAGGATTTCCTATCCCACGCCGGAAGGTTAAACACACCCATTCTTCCACGGTTCACTTAAAATTGTTTCTTACTGTACATCTGGGAAGGGAAAAACAGACCAAGATAGATATTGTTTCAGCCTCTCTGTTTCCCTCAGAAATAGCCCTGAATATCAAACAGGGCCCCTGCTGCCCTTTGAGTTCCTTATTATTTCAAATTCACCAAGTCTCTGCCAGTGGTGTGGGGACTGTACAACGGGGTAAGGCTTCTGTGGATATGTGTAATCTTTGCTTTCAGAGGGATGCTGGCATTTGAAGTGATTATAAGAGAGTGCCTCAAGCACTAGGTGAGTGCTGTTCAAAACATTGACCATTTACTCTGGAGATGAGTGAACTAAAGTGTGTTTCATTCCTGCTGTGCAGAGTGGCCATCAGAAAGGGAAGGGTATATTTCATCTCTCTCCTTTTAGTGCATTTCCTTCCCTCTGCTTAAGCTCTGCTGGGAATTCAGTATGGAGCTCAGAACTAAAATAATTGGAAGGATTCAGTAGGATTATATGCTCAGAAGCCACAATTCCCTCCAGCAGACCTGTTGCCCAGCAGATGAAATGCTGTCAGTTCCAGTGGCCATTGCATCCTCGCAGTGTGGTGCTGTTGGGTGTTCAGCACCACCTTCCAGTATGCTCACCCCTTCATGCAGAGGCTTGCACCTATATACAGGGTGCTACAGTATCATGTTTTGGCAGAATATCTCTCAGGTATACTTTCCAGAAACATTTTGGTAGCTTTTGTATGGGGAGCTCTTTGTCCCCAGTACATAAAGTACATCCTGGAAAATTTTCTGGGACAAATAAAACAGCATTCATGTGCTATCCATAAATGTGTATGTTATCTGAAGTATGCCAACTATTCAGTTCATTTATGGTTCTTGATTTTATATGAAGTGTCAGCCCATGAGTAGTGAGAACAAGTTTGTTTTAATGTAGCTGATTACACAACACTGGAAGAAAAAAAATAGGCTGACGTTGCTCTTGCATAAATTTTTTAGAAGAAATTTTCCCTTAGGACTAGTTTTCAAACTGTGAATAGCTTTAACAGACTCATATTTGAAAGAAGACAGCAGTGGGCTTATAAACAGACTGAATTTTACGAATTACACAATTACTGGCAATGTAGGATTATTTCTCCCAGAGCACAAGTACAGATCCACACGCATAGGTTAACATAAGGCTGTCAGATGTAAATGTTACAAGGAATTCTTAATCCTCTGCTGACTATAAGGAGACTTTGTTCACAAATAGCTTCCTGCTATCCAGACCCAGAGAGTGTTGCTGAACTACGTGCTAATAAACACAAGGCAGAGGTATTTGTCAGACGAGCTCTCTTGCAGGCAAGCACTTAAAAAACACCCAGGTCATGACTTGACCAATCATGCAGAAAAACAATCATCAAACAAAAAAAAAATAAAAAAAATCTTGGAGGTATAATGTAGGGAGGCACATAAGAGAGGCCTGCATGGATTATTTACCTGATTCTGACTTGTCAAATGAGTACAATCATTTAATTTTTTCACGCTGCTCTGCAACGTGAAACATGCTCTGCAAGGTGTGACACTGACTAAATGACAGTTCATCAAAATGCATGGGAAAGTAAAAAAAAGAGGTATTGGTTTGTCTGCTAGAATTCTCCCTACTCCCATGAATGTTATTAAGAAACTAAAGAATGCCTTCAAATACCATCTGTGAGAAATTTTATCTCCCACCTGTGACTGAAAAGACAGACATCATCAAAATTATTTATCACTAAAAGAAAAACAGGCATAATATTAAGGGTGAAACAGGCATATGGGGTAAACAGCATATATCTTTATGTTGTCCTTTGAAGCATTTATGGACAGATGAAAAATGGTATGCAGGATGGTAACGATTTGATCTGGCAGAACTTCAAATTTAATTTGTTCAGAGGAAAATGATGCCATTACATAGGAAGGCAATGGGGACCTGTAGAATGGGGACCTGCAGAAACTTATTGCTGTTTCCTCTCATTTAAATTCTCAGATACCTGTAGGTTACCTTGTCCCTGGATAAGATGGGAATTATAAGGCTGTGCCTACAGTTGCAGAAATCTGTTGAGATAGTTCTTCACCCAAGCAAGATTTTCTTGCTATTCAGTTCTGTGATTCAAACCCAACTCAGATGAAATAGTAGAGAGCATCCAACAAGCACACAGTGAGCTGTGAATGAAAGCTGCTCTGTGCCAGGAAGGTTGGTCACTTATTTCAACACTGGACACAGGAAAAAGCTACTTGTGATTTTTGTGATAGTGTTTAGAGGATTTTGATTGCAGACAACAAAGTCTGTTGGCTAAACGACCCAGTTTTCCAAAGAACTCGTAATTTATACTCAGAATTATTCTGCAGGCTTTTCCTTGGTTCTCTTACTGCTTTCAAACAAATCTGCAAGAATTGAAAGCATGTAAGGGAAGTGGGGCCAAAAAGATTAATCTCATCACTGTATCTAATTTATGAGGAGAAACTCCAGAGGAATGTTTTTATTGAATATTTGTTTCTGTACCTCCACAGTATTAAAGAGACCTGTGACTGCTGATGAGCTCTTGATGCCTGGAGCCCCATATGTTAGAAAAACTTTTACGGTATGTCTCCAGTACTCTTCTTTATTTTCTGCATGTTATATGCATTGGCCAATCCAAACAGACATTTTCTGATGGGATAATTAGAGTTTATTTGTATTTGCTGAGGTTTATACTTTAAAATCTCAAACTCCATTATCAGTACAAATTTCAGGTCTGATTCAGCACTTGCTTTTTCTGTTTTTATGCCAGTGTGATACTTTAAAGGGGTGTAAAATTACATTAAGCCAATAACATTAGTATTATACAAACTCATTTGGACTTGGTGCTCTTGCTCTCCTGGAGTGGATCACCTACCCAAACTGAAGTTCTCTAGCAGGGTTTTCTGTATGATGGGACAGAAAATTCGACTCACATCCATTACTAGAGTCTTTCTTTAAAGGCGTTCTTGAACCTAGTCATTGGAAGCATTGCTTTTACAGCCTCCTACTTCAACAAAAGAACTTCATTAAAATCAAGAGGAAACATTTGGATAGAGCCTTTCCCATGAGTGACATAGCAGCCTGTACTCTACTGTATGTTGGAAGTACAGAGATGTTGAAATTACATCTTGGACCATTTAGAAGTTGCCCCCTTGAATTTCATGGAGCTGCTTGAAAGTGATCATGTCCTTGCCTCTTTGCAGATCGTTGGTGATGCCGTGGGCTGGGGCTTCGTGGTGCGGGGGAGCAAACCCTGCCACATCCAGGCTGTGGACCCCAGTGGGCCAGCAGCTGCAGCTGGGATGAAGGTGGGTTCTCAAAATGGGATGATTTCCCAGGGAAATTGGTGCTGCTCAGTGAAGGTCTGGGCTGCCTGTATATGGGGAGGGAGAGATGCTTTTGCTTCCAGTTTTGAGTGCCTTTGTCTCAGTTTCAGGCATTTGTGCACAGTGAGTTCTGTTGTCTTTAAACCCCCTCATATTTCTTTTCTTCTGTCCTTGAGATTCTTGAAGTCTCTTTTTCACATGAGACTCGATTCCTTTTCAAGTCACTTTCTTGACCTTTTCCCTCTTTGAGGTGGGTTTTTCTTCATATAGTTGGCTGGTTTTGGTGCTGGTGGTGTTCTTATTTTTTGATGGAATTTTTTTTTTTCTTTTCTTAATTTTCATGTCCTTTTTCAACTCTGCATAGTTTTAGCTTCCCTCTTTACTTTCCAATTTATGTGATTGCTGGCATGCACTTTCTGGACTTTGCCTGTATAGGCACAAAGTCAGACTACCTAGTGGAAGTGAAGGTAGCATGGCTCATTGTTCAGTGTAAAGCAGTTAAGATTCAAGACAATTTGGAAAGAACAATAGATGTTGCTTTCATAAAGAGCTGAAATGGCTTCATAAGTGATTTAAGAATCAATAAATATACATTCCACTTTTAGCTTTTGCACTGCAATGCAGAGCCCATTGACTTACCTGTGGGCTTGGATCACATCCTGCATATATCTGTGAATTAATCTCTGCCTTGTACAAAGAGAAAAACAAAGACAAAGTATTATATTAAGTACAGATAAAACCAAGAAAATTAAGTTAGCTGCAACACCTTCTCCAATGTCCAGGAAGATTAAACTACCAATTTATGCCATGCTTTATTTGTATGGCAGCAACACAGATGAGGGTTTCAGGTGTATTCTACATGTACCCCAGTTTGCCACGAATTTTGCCCATCCTTCTAATTCATCTCTCTTTCCCATCACACTCATCCCAGTTGTCTCTCACCTGTCTATTCACATCCAGCAAGCTGGAGGCCACAGCTCCAGGGATGCACATCCTGCCTGCTGCACAGTGCCAGACCTGCCATGGGACCCTCCTTAACAAGTGCAGGACAGGGGTTTCTGCTCTCTGGCTGCTGATTCTTTTTTTTAATGGAACTTTCAAGAACATACTGTCTTTGAAGCTTTGAAACAGGGAATGGCAGCTGCAGAGCTTATTGGAGCATGCAGCACCCAGACACAACCTGCTGGCAAAGAAGCTTGAGTTCTGAGGGAGCTGGAATTTTTAATATGTTTTATACAACACCTAAATATAGTATACAGTTACAATTTTTATATGAAGAGTATAATTTTCAAATAATGATCATGCCTAAAATTTAAAGGGCCTAAATTTAAAAATTATTTATTAATTAACATATATATATGTTCTAGATCCTGAAATTGGCAGTTTAGTATTTTACAGCACCTTTTATTCTCTGAATATAGAAGCTAGCAGTACAGTGGATCAATTCTGAAGCCTGACTTGTGAAAACAACACTGTGGTGTCATATGTGTAATCCTGTGGGGTTGCAGAGGTCTACCTGAACCATGCAAAATCGAAGAATGAAGAATAGTTCACTGTCCTGAGAGGAACAAACAGTGCTGTAAAACTGGAATATATTGCCTTGATTTTACAGAAAGACAGATCTGATTATTTTCAAAGCTGTTATCTTTATATGAATTGTTTTCTCAGAGCAGAATTGCACATAAAAATTTGTGTATGAGATGAGCCCCTCTTAAGACACAAAAATTGTTGCTCCATTTTTGGAAATGCTGAATACCTTTAGCCAAGTGAAGAGATGGTGCTTTTCTTTGAAAATAAGGGCTTTTGTTAGATGTTCCCATGGCAATAAGTATGTAAATCATAGTGTGGTACTTGAAATTTAAAAAACCCAAAAACTATGTCACTTAATCCATCTGTTTACAGAACTCCTCAATCTGGAAAATTTAAAGAAATCAAATGACAGGCTTTAGATGACAGCTCCTTGAAATTAAGCATTCCCCTGTGTGGAACTGCAGGAAGGGCACTTTGAAAACAGGCTGTTGGGCACGGTGACTTCTGGTGGGCTGGTGCAAGAGGCTTTTGTCTGCAAAAAGAGTAAGCGCAAAGAAGTGCTAACAAGGAAAGTTGGCTATGATCAAAAGGGCAAGAATTTGAAGAAGAGCCAAGACTTGGCGTTGCAGTTTGTAGAGAAGTTCTTGGCAGTAACAGCAGGGATTTTCCTCCTAAGAAGATGCATCCACTATAATTGTTTTTAGAATGTCTTTATTTGTAAAGCTTGTGATTTTGCCCTTTCGTGTTTTGGAGGGCACTATTTTCCTGTCTTTATGCTGGACATACTGTTAAGAGAAGACTGCTGCCTACAGTCTCATTGTAGGACCTTGGTTTGTGCATTTAAAATTCTACCATGTTTCACAGAAAGCAGTAAACATTGCAGGGTTAACCTACCTGCTGGACTTACTGGTGGCTTGCTTTCAGTTTGAGCTTGTCTGAGCTCTTGGCCTGCTCCAAAGTGCTGTGAGTTGGGAGTCTGAGTGGAAAACTCAGTGATCTCAGGACAGAGCTCTGACTGCCCGCAGTGGCTGTGCTGGGACACATGGGCTCTGTCACACATGTGCACCTCAGCGTGGCAGCACTTGCCATCTCCTTATGTGTGACATCCTCTTCTGGGGGAATTTTCTGACAATTTATTTCTGACAAAATCCGTAATAGCATGATCTGCTGAAGATGTGTGAGAGGCTATAAGCTTTAGGACTTGATACCTCTTTAGGACTTAATAGGCTGGTAAATAGGATTACCACACATAGTCTGAAGTTTCAGGTGTGAAGCTGAGAAAATAGTTCAATAAATATCTATTCAATTAGCTTAATTAAAGTATTTTTGGTTTGCTGAAGTGTGTTTGCCTGTGATAGCATTGTGAGGAGAGTGGTTGCTGTAAGTGCATGAACAAGTGGGAGCTGGAGGCGATGTGAGGCTATGAAAGGAGTCAGTGTTGCGATGCGTTCTTCTGAGTTATTTGCAGCTCTCTTTAGCTGTCTGCTGTCGTCAGCAGTGCAGACAGGAACAGCAGGATTTTGAAGTTCCCAAGTTGCTTTAATATTCGTTATTGGCTGGCTGAAAAGTCTGGTTCTCTGCAGATGACATTGCTACATATTGCCAGCTGTTGTCAGTAAAACTAAATTTCGTTTTCTTCAGTGATTTATTCTGTAAGTTAATTTCTGCTTTTAAGGTGCAAAGTACTTTTTTAAAAGTTGCAACTTGACTTCCAACTAGTGACTTAAATTATGCATCACATTGTTATTTAGTGTGACATAACTGCAATAAAGTGTGATGGAACAAGCAGACCTAGCTAAGTATGAGGCTTGTGAGAGAGACAAATTAATCACTCATTTTGCTGATCATCTGTTCTTCCTACTGGCTGGAGAAATCAGTGCCCTACTCAAACTGTTAAAAGAAAGCTATCTGATTCCTTAAATTGATTCTTAGCAAATTAGTATTTATAGCTGTTACACCTAAGGTCCTCAAATCATACAAATTGCCAGTGGCTATTTAAGCTTTTCAAGCCTAGTTTTTCTAGCAGGGAGTTTGAAGGACCACATGCTGTCACTGGTACCAGTGCCTTCTGTTTGGAGCTCAGCTTGGCAACTGTAATGTGCAGCCAGGACCTTTTCTGCATGGTTCTGCTCTCCTGATCTCTAAAAGCTGGCATGAGGAGGAGATCAGCTTTATAAAGTTTCTGCCTGTGCATTTGTCTTCTGCATTCACAAACGATTATTTAATTTCAAATGGTTATTCACAAATGATGATTTCACTAGCAGAATAAGAACCGACTCCCAAGTGTAGTTGAGTTGCCACTGTGTCAAGAAGCCAATGGATGTTACTTTATCAGGATCATCAAGCCCATTTCATGCAATCAAAGGAACATCTGTACTATCTGATTAGTCCGAAGAATTCAAGTACTGCCAGAATAACAACATATTTCAGATTTGTAACATGGAAGATTAAAAGGCACACATTATAAGTGTCCAGCAGGGTGAAAACCAACCCCAAACCATGTGATGTCAGAGGAATTGCCAATGCCTTATATTCCTGCACTTGGAAAAAATTTGAACAGTGAGATTCTCGTGAAGTTGAATGTACCTCAAGCTGCAGAGAAACACAAAATCCATTTGATGGTCCTTGCCAACCTGACCTCGAACATGAGGATTGTATAACTGGCAAGCAAGATAAGTCAGTCTAAAAATCCTTAAAAAAATCTTTCCCCAGGAAAAAGTATCCCAAGTCTAATTTCCAAGTCTTTTAGAGGATAGTGAGAAAGGTAGAGAAGCATGGATATTTTAGGTGAGAAACTTCTTTGTAACTCCTAAAGGCACTCTATTGAGAGCTTGAAAACTGGGATTTATATTGTATCAATAAGGCCTCCATTTACTCCTCTCCATAAAGTTTAGCATAAAGAAGATACCTCACTGTTTGATGCTGGGCCTCTAGCCCTTCAAAGCACTCCAAGGATGCTTCAGTGCTAATTGAAGGTATTTGAAGGGTACTTTCATTTTTTCATGGAATTGAGCTTTAAATGAGAAGATGGAGTAGGCTTGGATAAATATTTATGCTGTGCACTAGCATATGGTGTTGTTGAAGCAGATGCAAATCAGTCTCAGAATTCGTATCTTATACCAACATGGTACTAATTGTAGAAGAGCATAAATTACACGAATTGCCATCTGTTTTCAATTACAGCATGAAAACACTGAAGCAGGTTGGGATTTTCCTTTAGCTCTGTTATCAGCTTGCTGCCGAATTCGATAATTACATTAGAGTGAGTTGAGAATGGATGTATTTGGTAATGTGAGCACTCAGAAAAAGTTGCTGACAAACTGCTTTCATAGCTTGTCCATAAATAGAGAAGCAGCAGAGCTAAACATGCATAGTACTACCCACAATATGCTTCATTTTCTGATAGTATTTAATTATAAACTATAATATAAAGGTCCATTCTCCTCCAGAGA